TTATTTTATTTGGTGGTTTGAACTCCTTTGTAAGGAGTAAATGTTAGACAGTTTCTAAATGCCAAATCAATAAATGCAGCGGTATGATACATGTACAATTTAATAACCTACATAATAAGAGAGGTGGACGACACTCACAGGATCAGAATCAGATATTTCAATCTCCTGGGTGTGCACGGGTCTGCAGCCATGGCTGACACTCTGAGTCAGAGACGGGACGCAAAGAGAAAGAGCCGACGCTTCGATTTCACCGCTCAGCACCTTTTGAGTGACAGAGTCTCTCAGGAAGGACTCGCTGCGGGGGGAAGAAGAGGAGGAGAAGTCGTTTCATCGTCACCTCATCAATCCCTGTCTGTCTGAACCGGGAAGAGAGGAGGAAAGGGGGGGGGGGGCAGAGACAGAGAGAGAGAGAAAAGAGAGAGAGACAGAGGGAGGAAGTAAAAGTGACAACTGCACCAAAAAACCTGACAACACAAAACACTCAGACTCAACAAAACCTGTAACTTCATTTCTTTCCTCCGCTTAGTGTACAAATATTGAGTCTCTTTTTTTGCTCCTTTTTTGGTCTCCACCACCTCCTGAGGGAAATATTTTAATCTGCTAAATGTGCTTGGCTAGCTCAGGCCTGATTGGCCACAGACTGTTTCTGTGTCTGTACCTTTAAATATGTAAATGAGCTGTGTCTGACCACACCCCCTCTCTGGAAGGGCTCGGGTGTACTCGGTCTTTCTCTCTCCATGTCCTGTTGTTTACGGTGAGAAGGCAGACTCATAGGGCAGAACAAACACCTAGCTGTGGGAGTGTCACCCACCTGGGGGAGGGGCTACTGCCCTTTGTGATGTCATGAAGGGAAAACCTCAAAAAACGGCCTGTTTGAGTACACATTTTCTAAAAAGTGGAGCAGGCAGAAGACGGAGAGATGGACTTATCTTTTCAAAGTGTATTATTTGTAGTTCAAAGTGTATTTTTATGATGTGACTTTTTACATTTTTGCCCCTTTTCTCCCTCAGTTCACCGCGACTGCCACAAGTAAGAACGACACCTTCCTCCAGTTCCTCTCTCCCCCCGTGGACTGGAGTAAGGACAGCCAGTCCCTGAGGACGCTGCTCCACCTGGACAACGTGGAGGAGGAGCTGAAGCACTTCAACTACCACCCGAACCCCTCCTTCAACAATCTCACCAAGAACATCATCACAGAGACCAGCGTCATCATCGTCACGTGAGGAGACGCACGATCAAAACACTCAATGTCACTCTTTATACGTCTCTACCCCCTCCCCTGAGTTAACTTTCCTGATGTTTCCTCTGTGTGCGTCAGGGTCGAGGTTTCTCCAAGGCCATGACAGCCAAAGAGGCGCAGGCGTTTGTCGGGGATGCATCGTGTCACGTTAACATCCTGCAGGTAAATCCAGGTTTTTACCTTTAAACGCTCTGCCAAAGAAAGGCGTCTGATCCAACCTTCACAACAGGGTCCTAAAACGCTGACTAGACTCTTCTCCTCTGTCGCCCCCCGGTGGTGGAATGAACTTCCAAACTCCATGTGATCTGCAGAGTCCCTCTGCACCTTTAAGAAAAAGCTAAAGACCCAGCTCTTTCATGAATACCTACTAACTTAATGATGATGGTCTCCATATTATTGATGATGATGATGGTAATGATGATGGTTTTTGTTTGATAACGACGACTTATAAGATGGTTTCTATACTGATTAGAGCTCTCAAGAACTGCCCTCAATGTTGTGCTTTGCCTCTGGTCACTTCCTGTCAGCACCTGTGTGTCCAATCAGACTCAAAGCTGATCGTTTGCTCTTACTGACATTGTTCCCTTTTTTCTAGATCCTTGCTTGTGTTGTTCTTACTCTCTGATGTACGTCGCTTTGGATAAAAGCGTCTGCTAAGTGAATTGTAGAATTGTAATTGTAGAATTTTTCTTCTGTCGTCCAGGATGATAAGTTGATCCTGGAGGCTCCTTCAACTCAGCCCAAAGCCAAAACCAAACCCAAAACCAAACGGCAGCGTAGAGACACGGCCAACGAACCGCTGGAGCTGGTGGTAAACACACCGCGACCAATGTTTACACGCTTTACATGAACAACCTCCAAACATGTCCTTAATGTTGTCTCATAGGGAGATGACTCTAGAGAGTGTAAAGTCTGAGTCTCTCTGCAGGTTCAGTTTGGTAACGGCGAGTGGATCGTGGGCTCGGTGTATTACGCCACCAAAGACGACATCCCTCTGGCTATAATCATCCCTGCGGTGATCGTACCTATGCTGCTCTTCATCGCCATCTCCGTCTACTGCTACAGGTGTGAACACAACGCCCAGAGAGATCTATGAGCGGGAAGAAACAGCCGTTCTGTAAGTGTAAATATATCCCTGTGTGTGTGCTAAACAGGAGGAAGAGTCAGCAGGCAGAGCGAGAGTACGAGAAGGTGAAACACCAGCTGGAGAATCTGGAGGAGAGCGTCCGAGATCGCTGCAAGAAAGAGTTCACAGGTAAACAGAGAGTCACCTGACAGCTGAGGAGTTACAGGAATAAAGTCAAAAAAAGTGATACACCAAATAAAGTCTAAAGGAATCCATTTTTTAAAAAGGTCAGTTGGGCGCTTGTGGCCCAGTGGTTAGTGCGCGCGTCCCATATAGACATTGAAGTCGGTCGATTCAAAAATATTCCAGTAGAAAACAGACTGTGTGAGATGTGTGAGTTGGACGAAGTTGAAACGGAGTCCCATTTTCTTTTTGCATTGTAGAAAAATCTGATGATTTAAGAGAATTATTGTTTCCTGAAGTAAAATCTGAAATATTGGGGCGGACAGATGTGCAGAAACTGGAATGGGCTGTTTAAGTTTGATGTGTTTAAACTTTGCTAATTTTGCTTCAAAAGCTTGGAAAAGAAGACAGGATCTTCTGTTTGATTAGTTTGACTTCTTGATTTCTCTTTTTGTTTCTTGAGAATGAATCTAGCTTAGAGCCTAGTGCACTCTGATCCGGGAACGTTTTTAATTTATAGTGTCATGTAATGGATGTATATATGACACAATAATAAAATAAAAAACTAAATTAAATTATATGGAGGCTGTAGTCCTCAAAGCAGGCGGCCCAGGTTTGAGTCCAGCCTGTGGATCCTTTCCCCGCATGTCGATCCCCACTCTCTCTCTCTCACTGATTTCCGTCTCTGTCCACTGTCCTGTCTCTCCATTAAAGGCACAAAAAGCCCCAAAAATTAATCTTTAAAAAAATAAAAGGCCCGTTTAGACTTTTAGGGCACCCAGTTGCTCTTTACTGTTCTGAATCACGATTGCCCCCCTTTCATATTGGAAGAAGGGATCGATAAAAGTTGCATTCAGGTGCTTGTGCCCGTGCCGACGCAAACCTCTTCCAAGCGTGCCAAATCAAGGAGGTGTACCTCGCTTGAGCACAGATAGGAGCACTCACACTGGTCAAACTAACTGGACTTTAAGGGTGAAGCATTCTTCGGCAAGGTTTTTGGTTTGGCACCTGGGGTGGCCAATAAGATGTCAAGGGGGGGGCCCTTGCTGCCCCTCTGGACACGCCCCTGCTGGCATCCAAGGCCAAGCAGCAGACGCAGCCGAATTCCTGTCGGCGTCTTGTTATGAGTAGCGTTCACAGATTTTAAAAAGGAACGTGGACGCTCCTGACAGTTTAATCTCCATAATGTGAGCACTGCCAAGAAAAGATTCAGCAGAAAAAAGCAGCACTTTGGCTCCGACTTCAGAAATGTCCCTGCAGGACTTGTTGGCGGGCTCTGTGGACCGTTTTTTTCTGTTTCTGACAGAATCTGTTAATGAGCTTTCAGGGAGGTCAGCAGACTTTATAAAAGAGTGTGAATACTTCATCAATCGCAGCTTTAAAGAAAAAAATTTAAAATTACCAGAAATAGAGAAGTGGATATTTAAATGTATTCTGTGTTTCTGTCAGATCTGATGATAGAAATGGAGGACCACACCAGCGATGTGAGCGAGGCCCGGATCCCCTTCCTGGACTATAAAACCTACACCGACAGAAACTTCTTCCTGCCCTCGAAGGACGGTGCCAACGACGGCATGATAACCAGAAAACTACAAATCCCAGAAGCCCGCAAGGCCATCGTGGCCCAGGCGCTTAACCAGTTCTCTAACCTGCTGAACAGCAAAACTTTCCTCATCAATGTGAGTCTGGAGCTCTGTCACGGGTTTGAGAAAACTCTCCTCTTAAACATATCACCTCAGAGTTTGAATTCCTGGTGATGTTCATTTCTTTCAGCTGTCTGAAAGCGGGAGAAACTTTTTAGGCTTCAGTGGTTTTAACAAGTTTGGATAAAAAAAGAGCGACAGAAAACCTTTCAAGACCAAACATGCATTCTTTTTTTTTTTTAAAAGAAGGACTCAATCAAACGGGAAGTGGAGGATAATAAGACATGATTCAAAATGCAGCCGAGCGCGGAGAACGGCAAAACATTCAGCTGCTGCATTTTCTATTGGTCCGTTGTTTTTCCCCTCTGCACCATCAGAGCACAGAGATCAGAGCACAGAGGAGCAGATTACTGATTATAATCACTCATTAAATACGCAGCAGATTCCTCGCTCCATTTATAAACATTCCTTGTTGTGATGTAAACAAGGAACTTTATCTTGACTGTTTCTGATTTCTGAAGTTTAATATAAAATCCATCATGTTTTTGTTTTCCTCCTCCAGTTCATCCGCACGTTGGAGAGCCGTCCAGACTTCAACGCCCGGGCTCGTGGTTATTTCGCCTCCCTCCTGACGGTGGCGCTGCACGGTAAGCTGGAGTATTACACGGACATCATGAGGACGCTGCTGCTGGAGCTGATGGACGAGCACGTGCAGAACAAAAACCCCAAACTCATGCTGAGGAGGTGAGGAGCAGCGATGAAAACGTTGAACATTTTTGTGAAAAAAATTTGGCTTCAAAAAAGTTGAAAATTTTCGTGAAAAATTTCAGCTTCAAAAAAGTCCTTTGAGCAGACGATGGTATTTGAGCAGTGAGGCAAAAGCGTGCAGGCACAGATTTAGACCATATGTAAAAAAAAAAATGTAATGATGTCATAGACAAATATATTTGATGATGAGACAGAAGATGAAAATCTGGACTTTCAGCTGCAGGAAGAATAACGGCTGTACAGAACCCTGCAGCTTCCAACAGGAAGATTGTTTTCAAAGAGTTTAAAGACTTTTTTTTTTTAACAATCACAAACAGTATGAAGCCACAGATGTTCTCAACACGTCCTGTGCACAGTCGTGATGATGTTCCTCTCTCGTCTGGTTTGTGCAGGTCGGAGACGGTGGTGGAGAGGATGCTCTGTAATTGGATGTCCATCTGTCTCTATCAGTTCCTTCGGGTAACACTCATTCTCTCACTTGTTCTCTCTGTTGTGTTTTCACTTTGACTTCGATCTGTTTCTCTTCTTCTCTTGTTTCTGTCCTTTGTAATAGACTGCAGGAGACTTTTCCTCTCTTTTCTTTCTGAAAACTGTTTTCTGTATTTTTTAAGCTCGTCTGTGTTTTTTCTTTTTTGGCCAATTTGAAAATTTTTCTAAAGTTGATTGTGACAGGAGGAGCTGATGTTCAGTGTGTTTGTAATTCAACAACCTTCAACCACAGACACAAAGAGAGCGATGCTTCAGCTCCTGCTTTTAACAATATGGACATTTTATTTTTTACATTGAAATCTCAACAAAGTCTTTGAAGGTCGGAACATGTCAAAAACCTCTTCGACAACATTGAAATGAAAGATACTTAAACCCACACTCAGAATTTAAAGGTCATATATTATTCAAACTCCACTTCACCATGTTTCTCTAACTCTAACATGTGTCTCTAGTCCGTCTACAAACCCCTCAATGATGAGAAAAGTCCATCCTCTCTGTCTTCTGCCTGCTCCACTTTTCAGAAAATGTGTGCTCAAACAGGCCGTTTTGTAGATTTTCCCTTCATGACATCACAAAAGGCAGTAGCCCCTCCCCCAGGTGGGTGACACTCCCACAGCTAGGTGTTTGTTCTGCCCTCTGAGTCTGCCTTCTCACCGTAAACAATAGGACATGGAGCGAGAAAGCACCGAGTACACCCGAGCTCTTCCAGAGAGGGGGCGTGGTCAGACACAGCTCATTTACATATTTAAAGGTACAGACACAGCAACAGCCTGTTCTGAGCAGGGCTGAAATAGAGGGGTTTATAGACATGATCAAATACAGGATCAGAGTGGATTTAGAACAAGAAACTTCACACACATGTTTTGAGGAGCTCTGAGACTTATTTACACTGAAGAAGAGGAGGAGGATATGTGACCTTTAAACTTTTAATTTGTTCCTCTGTTGTTCTGTAAAGTGATGTTTGGTGTAAACGCTCACTGAGGTGTGCGTGTGTGTGTTCTTGATTTAGGACACAGCAGGAGAGCCTTTGTACAAACTCTTTAAGGCCTTGAAGCATCAGGTGGAGAAAGGTCCGGTCGATGCCAAGATGAAGAAAGCCAAATACACTCTGAACGACACGGGGCTGCTGGGAGACGACGTGGAGTACTCTGTGCTGGTGAGTACACACAGTGCACTCAGCAAATGTTGTCTCAAGGCGCTTTATTAAAGAGCAGGTAAAAGACCATACTCATGAAGTTAAGTGAGGACGGAGGTGGTGGTGGTGACATCACAGTCCGGACCAAAAGAAGACATCTGCAGACGTGTTTTGGGGCTCTATAGGAAACTTGGATCAGCAGTTTTAACTTGTTTTTAGACATTTCATTTTTAAAAAACTAAAAATATTCAGCAACCTGATCAATAATAAAAACAATTGTTAGCTGCAGCCGAGGTAAATACGCTTTCGCTTCAGAGTTAGGAGTCCGAGCACGCTGTCAGGATGTGTGTGTGTGGCTCACAGACATGTGTGTGTGTGGCTCACAGACGTGTGTGTGTGTGATGTCAGACTCTGCAGGTGTTGGTGCACGGAGAGGGACCAGATGTGACCCCGGTGAAGGTGCTGAACTGTGACTCCATCACACAGGTGCGTTTAATTCCCTTTTTTTTTTTTTTTCACCTGCTCTGACATCAGGAGACAAAATCTGTTATCACGTCTGCTCTCTGGGTCGAGTGAGACTTTTCTCATTTTGGATTTCAGCCGACCTCCGACCAGGATTTTCTATCAAATACTCTTCTATTTTAAATACCTAACTTCCTGTGTCTCCAGGTGAAAGAGAAGATCATCGATCAGGTGTACAGAAATCTGCCGTACTCACAGAGACCAAAGGTGGAGAGTGTTGCACTGGGTGAGACACAAACACACATCAGAAGTCAACAATTAACCTTCAGATGTGTAAACAAATAAATCATACAGTGGTTCACATGACCCCACTTTGACTTCACAAAGCTCTGGAGACCGCAGACATCCAAAACACGTCCAGCTTTCTGCTCATATTAATGTGTGTATACATTCATCTTGGATACATTTAATTTAGCCTTTTTGGTGTTTATTATTGTGGACAGATGAAGACAGGCATGGATGAAGTTTCTGCACAACGGACGACAGACAGACGGACTCTGCAAGTTTGTTTTGGCATTAGCTATGGCCTACAGTAGACTGTGTTTACTAACTTTAATATACAATATATTTAGTATTGTGGAGGTCAGGACCCTGACCTAAAGCCTGCTCTAAAGACAATGATGCAAACCAGAGCCACAAAACCAGGAGTTTGTCTCCCCCTGCAGGTCTGTGAGTGAACTGAAGGGCTTCAGAACATTTGGTGGCAAGACAAGAAACCTAAATATTGGAACTTTTCTTGTCAAAAAAGGACGTTTATAAATTTAAAAAAATAAAAAAAAGCTTTCAAGGAGCTACACTGAAACATTTGTTCTACATCATGGAGAGCAGGTTGGTTCAAGTTGGCTCAGATCTCTTCACAATGCAGACCTGAGGACAGAAAAAAGACAAAACAAAGATAGCAAGAAAAACAGAATCAAAGAGAGGTTTTCTATTATTCCTCTCTGTCTCTCATGTTAATAAAAAAAAACATTTAAAGTACTTTTTTGGTGCAGCGGTGGCGTAGTGGTTATAGTGCGCGCCACATGTATGGAGGCTAAAGTCCTCCAGGCGGGCGGCTCCTGTGGCTCCTTTCCCGCATGTCATTCCCCACTCTTTCTCTCTCTCTCTCTCTCTCTCTCTCTCTCTTCCTTCCTGATCTCCGACTCTATCCACTGTCCTGTCTCTAAATAAAAGCACAAAAAGCCAAAAAATAAATCTTTAAAGTCAACTTCTCATCCCTGCACAGAATGGCGTCCTGGCTCCACCGGTCAGATCCTGTCCGACCTCGACCTGACGTCGCAGAAAGAAGGACGCTGGAAGAAACTGAACACTCTGGCTCATTACAACGTGAGTTTAGTTTGATAAAGAAAACATAAAAGATATCCCAATTGGGAAGCTTGGTCCAAAGGCAACTGGACTTCAATGAAGATCCACAGAGGCTTACATTTCTAGCTCCACCCACCAGATAGTTTAGAGCTGAAGAAGGAGGAGAGGTGAAACGTCCTCAAGAACTTCAACTAAGTCCAGTTGTCTTTGGATCGAATTTACTCCTCCTCCAGTCGTCCCCTCTGACATTTAAAGATAATTACAGACAAAGAAAGCGTCTCTAAGACAAAGTGCTCGGTGATAACTGAGGGCGTACTTCCCTTTAACAGAATCAAGATTAATCGTTTCATATTTTCTTGTGTTTTAAGGTCCGGGATAACGCCACGCTGGTTCTGTCCAGAGTTTTGCACACGCAGTCCTTCCACCAGCACCAAGACAGCTACGAAGAGAGTATGGACACACACACACACACACACACACACACACACACACACACACACACACACACACACACACACACGTACACATAGCACTGAAGTTCAGTTTTTCCGCATATTTCAGAGCTTCTAACTTTCTGATTGAATTGAAAATCGTGCAGTAAAATCTTTGATGTCCAAAATGTCATGTTTAGATGTTTAAAGAGTGTTGTTTTCATCTTAAAGGTCACATATCCTCCTCCTCTTCATCCAGTTTAAATAAGTCTCAGAGCTCCTCAAAACATGTGTGTGAAGTGTCTTGTTCTACTCTGATCCTGTATTTGATCATGTCTATAAACCCCTCTATTTCAGCCCTGCTCAGAACAGGCTGTTTCTGTGTCTGTACCTTTAAATATGTAAATGAGCTGTGTCTGACCACGCCCCCTCTCTGGAAGGACTTGGGTGTCTCGGTCTTTCTCGCTCCATGTCCTATTGTTTACGGTGAGAAGGCAGACTCAAAGGGCAGAACAAACACCTAGCTGTGGGAGTGTCACCCACCTGGGGGAGGGGCTACTGCCCTTTGTGATGTCATGAAGGGAAAATCTCCAAACAGCCTGTTTGAGCACACATTTTCTGAAAAGTGGAGCAGGTGAAAGACGGAGAGGATGGACTTTTCTCATCATTGGGGGGTTTGTAGACGGACTAGAGACACATGTTAGTGTTAGAGAAACATGGTGAAGAGGATTTTGAAAAATATGTGACCTTTAAAATCAGTGAAAACTTAGTTTAAAATTACATATTTTTCCCTTTTTGTTGAACGAAATACATAAAAAGATCTTTGCAAAGTATTCAAGGTGACATATTTAAAAAAAGTGTTTTCATTTCTGAACCTGTCCTTCTGTTTACGTTCATGCCTCAGATCCAGAGAATAAAGGTAATTGCATTTAGATTAAAGCAAAACATACAACAAAAGCAAATTACAAGACATTGTTGACATCTTCATGAACGTTTTATCATCTAACATAAAGTGTTTGTAGATTTCCATCTTTCCTTTTTGACAAATTATTGAATTAATGAAACCAAACATGGAATAACGATTGATTTCTCTGGGTTTGAACATTTTTAAGAAGAAAAATATTGAAATTAAGTCGTTTTAAGCTGCAGTATTCCTCTCTTCTGACTGAACAAAGACGTTAAAAGCTGTGCAACTCTTCGTCTCCCTCGCACAGAAAACGCTCTGCTTGAGGACGATAACACCTTCCACCTGGTGAGGCCGACGGACGACATCGACGAGGTGAAGTCGAAGCGAGGCAGCATGAAGGACAAGGCGATGACCAAAGCCATCACGAGATCTACCTGACCAGACTGCTCTCTGTCAAGGTACGGCTGCTAAATAAATATAAAGATATAAAAGCAGGATATTCATATATTTACTGGGCGGATAACATTTAAAAAACAGAAGCAAACAAAACGATGATTTCCTCGTTTAAAGTGTACGATGTTCGTGTGTTTCAGGGTACGTTGCAGCAGTTTGTGGACGATTTCTTCCGCAGCGTGTTGTGTTCGGGCTCCGTCGTTCCGCCCGCCGTCAAATACTTCTTTGACTTCTTGGACGAACAGGCGTTGAGACACGACAACGTGGATGAGGAGACGCTGCACATCTGGAAGACTAACAGGTGATTTGAGTTCTTTGCTAACGTTGTAGAAACTGGAACACATGAACACGTGTGAGAGTTCAACTTTTGGTCGTAAATATTTGACAGTTTCCAGACTTGTTTCTGTTGTTTCCTGAGTACGTAACCTGTATCTTCAAAAATGAATAAAAGTCAGTTGCTGTTGTGTTCTTGCCCTTCAAAGTAAGAGCTCAGTCTTGTTAGCCGACATGCTAATGTATGCAGCTAATGTAAGAGCAACTTAGCACAGCATTAAACCACTTCTTA